CCCCATATTAATCATAACTTTATCTTGAAAGAACAAACGCAAGATATAAATGAAATTAAATGTCGAGATTTAGTGACCCGTTCAGACTTTCGAACCTGTAGCTATCTATCAAAAACAGCTTGTAAAGTACAACTCTAGAACCAATCGGAGCTCTTCGATATATATTCCGATATTAGGCTTGTCGCTTGTCCGAGTGGTGTTCACGTAGTTAAAACTATAACGTCTGTGAATGTAAAGTATGAGTATTAAAGAACCCTTGAACGTTTAATGTATTCTTGACCTTTATTTGTTCCTGGAGATGTTACACAGTCTTTAATTGACAATTTATCTGGCTCCTTAGCAAAAATCGATTAATGAGTAAATTAGTTTTACATTAACTAATTCTGGACTGGAAAATGTACAGTTTCTTAACAAAAATGCCTGATGATCACACACACACACACCCAACAGAAACGTAATAACGCGGACCCCCACCACCATAGACTGTTTTAGTCATATTGCATTAGTAAAGTTAGAATCTGTTCGGTATAAATACCAAATAACTGATAAAAATATAAATAAAAGCAAATAGGCAAAAATGATTTTACACTCTCGATTTATTCTTATAGAACTCGAATCTAATAAAAATATAGATCTATTTTTCGTTTCGTTTTTTATACTTTCGATGGCCTACACTACATGTAGATCTAACAAGTTATAGTGGGAGTTCACGTTCTATGACGTCAGCTTCCAAGCAAGCGACATTTGACCTGATTACGTCAGTCATTCGATTAACCAATTAGCGACCGCCATGTATTTTTTATCTACTTTTGCTTTGTTTTGATTTCTATTGCCGCTAATGTCTACCCACAGTTCCGCGCAAAAAAGGTCAAACGCTCGATTCGACAGACCATTTGATTGGCTGACCCCTCATTTCAAGCAGAACACGAGTTAAATAACAACGCTTCCATATCCAAGTGTAGTAAAGACAAGTAAAATCGAAATTTTGAACTATAAAAACGAAACGAAATTGGATCTGTGTTTTAATCAGATTGTATAGAACTCAAACCAAATTTGGGTAATTTATTCTCTATGCATTGACTATATGTTTCAATTGAAGTTGTTATTGATTTTGGGGGATCACGTGGCTAAGTGGGTAAGACGCTAGCTCGCTAGCCTGGAGGTCGGGTGTTCGATCCCTGCATTGGCCGAGAAAGTTCATCCAGATTTTCCGGCGTGGTTCTCCCTTGTTAGTGATGCAGGACGGAGGGGCTGACAAGGAAAGCTGTCTAGTCGTTCGGATGGGACGAAAAACCGAGGTTACGTGTACACATTGGCGTGCACGTAAAAGATCCCTTGGCAGTTGGAATTCGATATAAGAGTAGGCCGTAGTGCCGCTGTCCGGGCAAAATTTCCCTCATAGCACACTGTATGGCGTATGCCCGTCTTCATTAGCCCAGGTTAGGAGCAGAACAGTAGGACGGTAAACTCCATTTCATTTCATTTCATGTTATTGATTTTTCTAGGATTTTGAACCCTACTATAATCTCATTATTTTGTAATTTCATTGAGTAAGCCGACTTCAATAAATGTAAATTCCGTTTTGTTTTTGTTTTAAAGCTAACCACACAACAGAACATATTCAATTACGTGTAAGAAAAAAGCTCATTCGTTGAATCATAATAGCGACCCGGACGTTACTGATAGGAACAGATAATCGATGTGATGCTGGAGCGAGATTTTAGAGGTACAGGGCGTGGTAGCGATAGTACAGGAAGATGGAAAAGGGCTTGCATTTATGCTAAAGGGGTGAACCAAATAAGATTATTTTGAGATAGATGTCATTCGAAAACAAAATTATATGCATATGTTCGACTGGAATCCTACACCAAGTTATATTAGGGTATTAGTAATATGTCTGAATCGGTCTTTTGTCAATATTTGCTTTCGTTCTGGTTAATTACCGTTTTTATATGCAACCGGATGAAAGATGATGTATGACATCTGTAGCAATTTAAATAATGACATAATTTGATAGATGACTTATTGATGAGGGCGGGAGGTGGCGGATACCATCACAGAAAGGTTACTTAATATATGTCCAAAGCTAAAAACAGAGATTATATTATTCCTGCTTGCTGAATTTGCCACAGATTTTAAATTAATATTATAGATATACTAATATTACATAATCACGCGAAATATAATTTTCCGTCTCGGTACTCCTGACAAGAAGTATAGGTTTGTTTTGTGAGATGTTATACCAGTCTAGAAATTGATCAAGAATCAAGGACGATGGGCAGAGTAATAACGAACATAAACAGTGTAATTAAAGGATTGTAATAATCTTCTGGTCTACAAATACTGTCAATAGACTGAGTATGATAAATGATAGCATATCCTGAATATATAGTGATATTTCTTCTTTCTTATTAATATTATCTACAATCAGATCTATCAACAGCTGTATGATTAATATATCAGCCCTGACCAGACACTACTATCGTAAACCATCATTATGGAACTCACTTATGTATAGTTCTCCCATATGATTTTACATGTACGTTTTTGCATTCACAGTACTGTCTTCAGCTTTTTTCCTCCACGGAACCAAAAATGCTAATTGCACGATCTCATTTTCACACGCCAACACAGCTGTTATCTCTTGGCTAAGTTGTTTAAATTTCCCCTTTAACACTTGTGGCAGGGACATGGACGCTTTAATTTGATTACGCACGTTGTACGTTAAACCCACGTGGCGGTAATCTCGAGTACTTCTCCGAGTAAAAGTAGCGATATGCAGACCAGACCGTGACCCGTAGCATCACGTATATGTGTACATATCTTTAAATCCGATTAACCAGTCACCTTAAAGGGTTGCATTTGGTCTAAAAGTAATAATCGAAAGAAGATCAGTTGTCAACATCGCAACTGAAAATGAAATATATGAAATAAAATGGGAATTAGCTCCGATTGGGTTAATGAAGACGGGCATGCGCCATACAGTGTGCTATCCGGGAAAGTTTGCCCGGACAACGGCGCTACAACCTACTCTTACATCGAATTTCAACTGTCAAGGGATCTTTTACGTGCACGCTAATGTGTACACGTGACCTCGGTTTTTCATCGTATCCGAACGACTAGATAACTGTCATTGTCCTCCGTCCAGCACCACTGACAAGTGGAAACTACATCGATACAATAAAATCATCTGTAACTTCTATTCGTTTTATTCCACCTTTGTTCGTGTCTTTTTTGATTGTGTTTATTACTAAGAAACCGTTAGAAATACTTTATTTGTTTATGGAAAAACTCCCCGCAGATATATTTGTGTACTCAAGCAGATTTATCTGCTTCGTTGTGAATGAATAGAAATAATTTGAGATTATTAAGAAATAATGAAAAGCAAAAAAAAGTGTTAATTACATATTGCTCTTATTCAATTGTATTCAGTAAGATTATTGCGTTTTATTCACCTATGTAAATATCGCCATCTTAATTGCCCACTCTGGCAAAAAGAGAAGTGGTTTCATAGAGAATTAGACAAAGTATGCTAACTGCCAGCCATCTGAGAAGTCCCAGCATTGCCAATGTATAGACTTCACAGGATAGCCGATAACGTCAGCTAACTGTGAAGCTATGTCATTTCTATAGCCAGAAACAAAGACTGGATTAGCAGTTCCGTTATTTTTTCTCTTTCCGTATAACTTCATTTATTACAATTTGACGTTTATCAAAGAGATTATCAAATTATCAGGGAGAAAACTCAGTTTGGTACTGCCCTGTTCGTCGATTGTGTTATATGACTTATCGATTAAATGATTAACACATTTAAGCATAACGCCTAATGACATAAACCCGCAGCACCATCAAATGACGTGAAGGTTCCGCAGGCTAATAACCACAGTTCAGAACAATGACGAATCATTATAGTCATGATGACAATGACGATAATCTAAAGAGTAGTATTATATTGTCGATGATATGAAGTTATAATTTATTTAACCTATTTTTTTCAATTATGTATGACCGCGATCTCCACGCATACCCAAGGCGATCCACCTCCTTTTTACAGCTATAAATGCCGATACAATCGCTGTAGTAATCATTCTATGATAGAGGTAGTGATCCAAGAAGTCAATACTTGTATTGTGGTTAAATATTGCACAGATACGGGTTTCTAATACACTAAAGTGCAATAGATTTCATTTTATCTTTTCTGATTAATTCGTTTCCCTTGGCTTTGTTATTTATGCTGGGGGTTTTGTTCGCTTTTTATTTTTTAAAAAAGTGTTATTGCAAACTTCAATTAAATTTTGTGTTGACACAGATTATGATCACAGTTCAGAAATAATTTATCTTCTGTTTTTTTCGAAACAAGAGTTTGAAATAAGCTTCCTAAAGCTATGGGGCTTCGGTATGTTGAAATGCTGAATAAGCCAAATTATAATCGTTTTAATGTCAAGAAACTGTACTTTTGTTATAGATATCGAACATTTAATAGTGTGTGGTCTTGAAAGTTACTAAGGGAGGCGAGCATGAATGTTCCCTTTGAAACGCTTAAATAAAACACACTTTAAATGTTGCATAAATATTATTTAAGTATTTATAAATATAGTTTCATTTGGACATTTTCCATTTTATTGCATATGTCATTTAAATTTTCTTCTTTTTTTCAGGTTTTATGTACTGACTAAAAGAAACATTGGAAATATTGTGTTCATTTCGTTTTTGAAGTGGTGTTAAGCAGCTAAGTGTTGAACTGAATAAATCAATTTATATAAGCATTGAGTGTCAGACGGTGCGAATCATTTGAATAGCTTTATTACAATTAAATTTTATTGAACATTAATCTATAACATGTACGTGGAGATGTAAAACATAAAATACATATACATCGTGTCGTAATAACAAAAGAAATTTCATTAATAAATACTAACAAGAAATAATAGTCTAATATACAATCGCAACACCTGTGATACACGCATATAAACCAATACGTGGAATCATTCAGTTAGAAAAAAGGACAAAATCAATAAACGAAACGAGACTGACAGCGACGTAAGGTTTGAAACAAGACGGACTTATCATTATTATCGTAAGTTAAGTCAGTGTCACAGGATATGGTATATGTGGGCTGAATCCGCATTACTTCTCAGCTTTAATACAGGAAGGTTACAAAGTGGCGTTAATCTAGCATAGTGTCAGCAATTCAACATCATAACTTTCCTTCCTCCCACGAAGGTAGTGTGTTGAAATTTCTTAAAGGATTATTTTTGTCCGCAGTCTTACCTGGGATAGTCATCAGTGATGGGTGATATGGATAACGCTACGTTACTTTTACATCAGAAATATAACTTCAGTTACGCGTATTTCTACGAAGGTGATCTGGAACAACTTCGCAAACCATGGGTGCGAGAACCCCATTTTATACCCATGGTAGTCGTGTACAGTATCACCTTTGTTTTAGGATTATTTGGCAATATTGTGGTTATAGCCGTGATGTGTTGTGGACATGGAGCAAAATGCGTCACTTTTCCATGTTTATTGAGCATGGCATGGGCCGATGTTCTTTTTCTTCTCGTCTGTGTTCCAGCGGAAGTGGGGAGACATTTTATCGGACATTGGGAATTAAGTAACTTTCTGTGTAAATTATCAGGATTTGTGGAAATGATGTCTGCAACAGCAACTGTTTTTAACCTGATACTAATTAGTGCTGAAAGGTAAGGAAATCACTTTTATGATGTTCATGTCAGACGCGTTAGTCTTGTAATTCGGGTTTTTAAGTCATGCCCACAAACTCCTGTAGAGTGCGACAGCTTTATGTGTCATGTGTGACAGGTGTCCTATACATGAGTATTGTATTTAGAAAAACTTATGTATTGTTTAAAATATAATTGAATCTCACATGTTTGTTTGATATATATAAAGGTATTTATAATAGAACTGAATTGCGGATATAATGGTTTGTCACGTGTTTAACTAGTTTATAATATGATACAACCGCCAATATAACGGAATGAAACATTTTTGATAGTTGTTAAATAGTTTATAATAGAATATAACCGCTAATATAATGGGATGAAACATGTTTGATATGTTTGATAGTTGTTAAATAGTTTATAAGATAATAGAACCGCCAATGTAACGGGATGCCAATATAACCGTGTGTCACATGTTTGGCAGTTGTTAAAAAGTTTATAATATAATAAAACCGTCATAACCTCATGTCACATGTTTGATATCACTGTGCGTCACATGTTTGATATCAAAGTTAAAAAGTTTTTGATATAATAGAACAGTCATAACTGTATGTAACATGTGTGATATAACGGTATGTCACATGTTTGATATCACAGTTAAATAGTTTATAATATAATAAAACTGTCATAACTGTATGTCACATGTTTGATATAACGGTGTGCCACATGTTTGATATCACTGTGCGTCACATGTTTGATATCAAAGTTAAAGAGTTTATAATATAATAGAATCGTCATATCGCCTATGTCATGTGTCTGATATAACGGTATGTCACAGTTGTTTAAGAGTTTATATAATTGTATGACATTAATAGTTTTAAAGCGTGTCTTCTAACTGACAGCGTACATCAAATAACGACTTTTGTTACATTGTGTATTTCTAAAAGTACACGAAAGCCGAGAAGACACCATATTACCATTTACAATAATAAATGATTTATAAATGATTGGATGTCTGGAAGTCTAAAGTAACAGTAGTAGTTACCATATTTCGTTGATAACTCTGGTAAACTGAAACTGTTACTTTTTCATACCGGGATTGACAGTTAGTTGATCATTCATAGATATAAATTAGCCCAATTCGCCCGCCCGCCCGATACGGCAACAGTAGTAGTCTCCATATTTTTGATAACTCTGGTAATCGTTACTTTTAAATACTAGGATGAGAGTTAGTTACTCGTGAATTCATAGATGTAAATTACCCCCACCCCACCCTACCCCCACCCCGCGAAACATACTGGGATGAGAGTTAGTTGTTAACGGATTCAAAGATATAAATTAGTCCCCCATCCCCCACCCCCACAGCGCGAAACTTCACGACAAATCTAACTAGACGTAAATATAGGTTCAAATAATAATGAATTATTTTCTTTTATAAGCGAATAAAATTATACGTAGGTGGGTATAGATATATTCCATGCCCCACTGGAGTTCCAACATGGATGTATTGTTTGTTGTCGTCTCCAAAAGAAACTTTACTCTTACACTCAACTTTGGCATTTCCACCAAGACATCATCAATCGGAAGTCTACATTATTGTATGGAATTTCATCATCTTTTGTTAATACATGTCAATGGATAGATTTGAGTTCGTATTGGATTTTAATTGACAGGTATTAATTTATTAAAAGGGAAATATATAATATTCAGAAAAATGCCTTTAATCGATGATCACAATTGAACATCCGAACATCTAAGTAAACAGCCTACCTCCTAACGAACGTTATTGAGATATATATTTGGCAGTGATACCATTCCATCACTTCGAAGACCGATCGAGTTTAAAACATGGGGGTGGGGGGTGAGTTGGGTTTCTCATGAGTAATGTTTTGTTCTGAAAACTGAATCAAAAGGTTTAAGTCGTTTCTTGTATACAACAAATTAGATTTGGCATCTTAAAAAAAAAGTACATAAGATACAGCGAGGACATCGTTTTTCTAGATAACCTGATTTTTAATCAGTTAAGTAGCTTTTATATTGGAAATGATATCGGTTCAAGTTTGAGAGAGTAAGCAATATCTTACTTTTCATTAAATCATACTTCAACCAAACATTTTATCATAAGGTGAAATATTTCTCTTCAGATGCTTACCCCCCCCCCCCCCTTCTACAGTACTGATCAGTCACTGATCGGACCCATGAACTAATAACAGTTTCAACAGGTTTTCTCTACAAGACAGTTGAATATTTTACTAAGACTAATATACAATATGTTATATGAGAATAGCTGACTGGAAGTTATGCCTGATCAGCAGCGTAAATAAACGTTTCAAGCTATTCTAATTTAACATCATCTATGTTAGTACAAAACATGCATATTCTTCTTCTTTAGTCCCTTCTGTTCTCAGTAGAATATAGGGCCTCCGCAGAATATTTCCGCCAATTAAGGTCCACGTTTTTTTTCTCCATGTCGTCATTAGACGTCCTCTCGTTACATTCCCTTGTGGGTTCTAATCGTATGCCTGGCGTGTAATGCTTGAATATCTAATCTATCGTCACCTTCGTGAAGGGTGTTTAAGATACGATCGAGCCATCTTATACGTGAGATCGCCCTTAGACACTAATGCGTTGAATACATGTATCTATTGTTAGGCTCTACGTGTCCGGCCCATAGAGTACGGTCTTCAGAGAAATATATTCCGCCACACTTCTTTCATTATTTGATATACTGGTTGTGCTATTCTGCTCAATTCCTTTCTGGTTTTATAAGATAGGTATGTGGTCTTCTTCTACAATTTTACCAGATCACCCAATATGGCATTCATATGACAACATCGGCAGACATTTTGGGGTTTTTGTTACAGCATCCCTCAATGAGTGTGCGTTCAGATCGCAGTATAATCTAAAAATCAAAGACTTCTAGCTTTGGTGTTATCGTCTACTGGATTCCTTTGGAATTTCCACTGCTGTTTCGATAAAAAAAATACATGACACTGAAAAGATTACCGATGATAGAAAACATTAAAAGAATTCGATATATTTGTATTATGGAACAAATGGCCAGTTGTTTCATCATCATGACTCTTATCTTGTCATGGTATTTTCCAAATTGTTGGTTTGTCCCCAATGTCAAAAGTTTGCTTGAAGTCCACAAAGTTCACATATAATGGCTATTGCCCTACGGACAGATACAAACCTAGGTTGTTACCTCAGATGAACTTCAGACGGCCATCAGATCCACAAGCGATCTAATTGACCTTCCGTTTGGTAGGTTGTGGGTTAGATTTCTTTTATTATAAAAATCACAACAAACCATGCGGACCAGTCATGTAACTGGATGTCCTTGACGGAAACATGGTCGCATTTCCGGATTAAAAGAAACGCCACTCAGTAAAACAAGATAATGACTTATAAGATCCCCCACCTTGCTTTCAACTCTTGCCTTCTTTTGCCACCCAATTAATGTCATTAATTGTTCCATATTACAATTATAGTTTGGTGTTCGGATTGGGTGGATATTAACCTCGGGGCTAATATAATTATAGTAAGGACACGTGGAAGAAATCCATTAATATAATCAGAAATAATTAGACTAGTTAGCTGTAGTAATGTTTAGAATTCTGGCATACTGTGATTCCGTGTTTTTTTCTTCAAGATAACGTGTATAATGCCCACTATATTCCTACCGGAATCACTGACCACCAATACTTAGAGGGACTAAACCCCATACTCGTTAATTTCGTACGTGCCACGAACGAGAACCAACCGATTGATTGAAGATTGATTATCAATAAGTCATAATTCTGAAATACGTGGCACTAGCGATGAAATGACGCTAGTTAGTAATCTGGTAAGTATTTAGGTCGCTATGAATAAAGAAGACGCGATTAGCATCTCTTTCATCTATGACGTAGAAGTTGCGGGACTACTCGGCAGTAAAACCCCTCATCTGTTATTGTTAGTAGGCATTAACCCACAAGTGTTTTTTGTACATAAACTTGCCACTTCTAGCCTATCAACAGCATATAAAATCAAGACTGTGGTGTAATTAGGAAGACATTAAGTATCGTAAGGAGTACACGATGTCCTTTAATCATTGGTAAAACAGCAACATGTAGTTCAGACATGTTCTCTTCAAGGCGGCTGGTTTAATTCATCTTATGCTAGAATGCAATATTGTATTCGAGTAGGATATATTTTCTTAGACATTAAAAACCCCACAAGAAGCGGTTATTATCTTGTCCTATCCGATTCACAAGCAAAAGGCACCGGAGATGTAAAATATTTAAGATAATATTCTAGAATTCACAGAGGTTCAAATGTTTTCTGAGATGCAATGCAAACCCGCGTATCTTGGAATTCCAACAATCAAAGAGTTCTGTTTCTCAGCTCTCCTGGTGCCACCCTGAGTTGGTTTCGGAAATTCACGAAGTTCGCTAATCCTCGATTACCACCTCCACTTTAGTGTCTGCTTTTGATTTTATTCTTCCCGATTCCTTTTGAAACCGTGGTTCTTTATAGTTTGACCTTTCTTAAACAAACCATATTCTTCTATTCTCTCATCTCCGGCTTTTTAGTGTTCACATAACTGTCACCAATCCTCAATAAAACTAATGGTTGAAATCAATTTTGCACTTTACTGCTAAAACGTGGCAATAATTTCTGTAAATTGGCATCATGGCATATTTCCTGACACGTTTTGAAATATCACACAATGGTTTTAATATGCATATATGCATTTAATTTTTCTAATACATTTCTAAATTTCATTAAATATACTTTTTTTAACGCTACCTGTAATGGAGGCATCTGATATATGCAGTGAATAATGTGTGGAATAGTAAGCATACTCTATCTTGTACACAGTTACTACTATAACGTACATTCGTTACATGCTGAAACAATAATTGCGTCAGCACTTCCGATATCTTTAAATCGTTGTTACGCATCAATTATACCAAAGATTTTCCGTGTTTACTTGGTATCTTTTTATAACATTAGCAAAATTTGTGGACGCCGAT